TGATAAAATTCAGTAAACTGATACCTGGCTTGAGCTTTCCCCCCCCCCCCCCCCCCGTACTATTTTTATTTATTTCTCCAGAACAGCTGGAGAAAATGAAGGTACACTTAGCCCAAGTTTCCTTGCTGCTATAATCTCTTCACCTTTTTTTCTTTTCCTTTCCCCCAAACTGATGGGTAACTGTGAAGCCCAAGTTCAGGAATGTGGTTGGAATTCCAGGCCCCAGTCTGGGGGAGGTGACACTTTCAGTCCCAACTTCAGGAATGGAGTTGGAATTCCTTGCCCCAGTCTGGGGGGAGGTGACACTTTCAATCTCCAGGGGAAAAAGCCAACTGCTTTGTTTATCAACATGCAAAGGACAGCACTGTGGGAATTAGGGCCTAGAAAAAAACTGTAACTTTGTAGAGAATGGAGCAGCTCATTAAAGGGATGAGCTGCAACTCCTAAAACTGCCATTTCAACTCCTGTTTCCACTGCCACCGCCGTTTGAACTGCCATGACAGCTGGCAGCCAGTCAAATGCTGCAGTCACAGGGTTTACCTTATAAGGTATGATTATCTGTTGGTGTTGGGTTATAAAAGGAGGGCTGCAACTCCAACAAACTAGTCTCAGCTTCACCCCCCTGAGTCCGTGCCTCAATACACCACAAATGGTGCCCCATGTTGGGGTATGAAAGAAATTAAGCTGTTTCTCCAGTGGTGTAGCTCAGCTGAACACAAGGAAGGAAAAAGCACTGAAAGGAAGCGACAAGAGAGCTCTCAATTACTTTACGCTGGATGATAAGGTAAGCAGCTGAGAATGAAATGGGAACCCCTTTAACGAAAAAGCATAAGGCAGTCTCACAAGCCTTTGCTGAAATCCTTAAAAAATATGAGAAAACAGTACAGGAGGAAAATTTAGAATGTCTCCTTTTGTGGGCATCCAAAGCTAATCCCACATTAAACAGTGACTTAGCATATGACTGTAGAGTTTGGGATGATATCGATGTCAGACTCTGGGACAGCACCACGCTAGGAGATAAGATAGCAACCTCTTTATTAACAACATGGAGAGCAGTTTACGAAGCTTTGCAAGCTCCCTCCAGCTCTGCAGACAACCGTGTAAAAACGGCAACTAATTCTGAGCCACTCTCACAGAAGGAGCTGAAATTTTGTGTGCCACCCCTGCCCCATGACCCACCCCAACCGCAATCTCCCGTGTTGCCTTTCGTGTCGCCAGAGCCGCCTTCATTGCCAGCATCGCTGCGGCCACCTAAGGCACAGCCCGCAGCGTGGCCAGAAACAAAGGCCTCCTCCTCCACGCCACTTTCACGTGGACTTCTCTTCTGTGGTTCCGCTGCCACAGCACCAGTTTCTCGGTCAGATGACTCCGAGGAGGACCCAGAACTCACAGATAAGAAAAAAGATTTAACCTTTCACTCTCCTGACTTGCCTGACAAGTGCGGGGGGAGGCGAGACTAGCAGGGGACACGGCAGTCTTAAAAGCTTTCCCAGTCCTGGTCTGGCCTGACCAGGACCCTCACTGGGAGGGTCTGTCATATGCTCTTATTAAAGATGTAAGGTGAACAGTAACAGACCATGGTTTGGGGGCTTTGTACACCATCCATTTAATAGAATCCATCTGTGATAGCCAAGTGTTCATCCCCCACGATTTCAAAACACTATTTTGTCTAATAATGACTGATATGCAGTACACAATGTGAGAAGCCAGACTGAAACAATTAGCAGAAAAACAGGCGATTGCAAATTCAGTTGCAGGAACACGAAACCCTTTGTGAACTGTTACTGTAGGTGTTTGCTGGGGCAGGGTGAGCATTCTTCTCAGGCAGTACAAGCACGAACATGTGCTGCAGGGCTCCAGCAAATAAAGCAACTAGCCCTATGCGCTCTTAAAAGCGTCCTGGACGCAGGCACACAGAGAATGCCCTTTACCCATATCAAACGAGAGGCAAATGAGCCCTTTAGGAAGTTTTTAGATCGTCTTAATGATGCTTTGGAAAAACAAGTAGAGAATGATGCTGCACGCCAATGCCTTTTTAAACAGCTTGCTATAGAAAATGCAAACCCCGACTGTCAGAAGGTTTTACGTCCCCTAAAAAATCCTACAGTGGATGACATGCTAAATGCACGCATGAATGTTGGCTCAAGGCAGTATGATTTATCTCTGATAGTTGAAGCATTTGCAGCAATGTCCACAAAAACTCAACAATGTTTTTCTTGTGGCCAGTTGGGTCACTTGCACAGGAATTGCCCAAATGACAGGATAAACAAAAGGAGAGTGGTGCCGGGTGTCTGTCCACGTTGTCACAAAGGGAATCAGTTTGCAAATCAGTGCTGCTCTAAGCTTGATCACTATGGGTTATCGCTTCCCCCTCAGGGAAACTCCAAACGGAGCATGGGAAGGGGACGCGCTATGACAATAAATCCAACCCCTGCCTGGACCCCTCGCGAACCTGCCACAGCCTGTGTGCAAGCACAGCCGGCAGTGCCGGAGTGGACCTGGCCACCTCTGCAGAAGTAACACTGCAGGATACAACAGTTGCCCTGCTGCCGACTGCTACACATGGCCCTCTGGGCCACGGCAAAGCAACCTTACTTAACTGGCAGATCATCTATCACTTTAAAAGGCCTTTTTGTGTTGCCAGGAGTGATAGATGCAGATTTTGAGGGGGAAATAAAGATAATGACGTGGACCCCAATGCCATCATGTATTGTACCTGCAGGCAGCCGGATCGCACAACTAATTTATTTTTTACCCCAAACACCAAATAATGTTCCTGTCAGGGGTGGCCGCGGATGCTTCAGATCCACAGGTGAGCTGCAAATTGACTGGACACAACAACTGACCACAGAACGCCCTTTATTGTCTTGTATTCTACAGGTACGGGGGGAGAGCAAACAAATCCCTCTCATCCCTTGCTTTGAATCTTCCTGCCTACAGGATATGGGGGAGGGAAAGCAAAGCCACAGCAAACTAAAATCTCTCCCATCACCACCCAGTTTAGCTCCCTTATTAGCTACTTGTTTGCACCATTGTGGACAAGGAAATTTTCTGGTTTGGGATATCTGTAACTGCTTCTACCAAACCCATTGGGGGGGGTGAAAGAAGCGATGCGTGGGGGCCAGGACCTTTTGGGAAAGCAGGGCTCAACTTCGCAAACAAGGCTGGGGCTGGGGCTGTGCCGAGGGGGAAGTTGTCCTGCAGGCAGCAGGACAGGACAAGCAGGACGCAGTCTACTCAGGATGCAGTGCATCTGAAGGACACCATGGATTTGGGCCCATTGTTGCTGCTTTATTAAATCATAGCCACCTACAACTGGCTCAGTGGTGACAGAAGAGCAGTGCTCATAGTTTGAATGATGGTTTTTGCTGAAGATTTGAAGGTATCAGCATTCCAGTTTTCCTGCCTGTATGAAAGAGAGAGTTTCTTTTCTGTGATAAGATCTATGCCTGGAAAGCTCCCCAGGCAGCCACCAGGCCCCAACATGGCATCAGGGCAGTTGGCAGCAGTCCCCCCAACATCTGCCTCCCAGCCCACGCCAAGCCACCGCCTTACCCACAGCCCCAGAGCCCTGGATGCCACCATGGCTGTCCCTGACGCCACCCTGCTCACCAGCTCAGGTGTCTCACACAGCGCCTGGGAGCCTAGGAATGTTGGAAGGTCCTCATGGGTGTGGACATCAGTGCTTGAAGAGCTTCTGGTCTGAATCGAGGGCTTGGTGTTGGTCCTAAAGCCTCCAGGATGCAGATGGTCTGTTCTTCCAGGCAAGAGATGACTTCACTGCTGTCTGCCTTCAAGGGCTGATAGGCTGTAAGAAAAAAAACAGAGCCAAGATGAAACTCCAGACATCCCTCCAGCCCATGTTCCCCACTCACCACTGCAGATCTCATCCAGTTGCACTGTGCTTCAGTTCCTCAGGTGCCCATTTTCCAGCTCCAGGGAGACAGGGTCAGTCAAACCACGACAACTTGGCAGAGACGTCTTCAACTGCTTCTGCTTCCTCAGCACTGCTGAGCCCAGGTGGTCTCTGAAGAGGCAGATGGAAAAATTCTGCATGTCTCTGCTCTCCTGGGAGGAAGGAGGAAAGGTGAGCTTTGGAAACAGCGGCCCCCTGCCCACAGTGAAGGGGGTGGGGATGGTGGCTGAGGGAGATGCCCTGGGCTCAGATTCCAGAGCAGGGACAAGTTGCCCTGGCCTGCAAGGCCCAGAAGCCACCAGAGCCCAGGGGAGCAGAGCCTGCTGCCAGAGCTGCTGACAGGCCTGGGTGCAGGGCAGCTCTCACTGCCCAGTGCCCATCTCAGGGCTCACGCTCCCACATCAACCTTACCATGTCAAAGAAGCGTGAGAGGTTCTCCACCAGATCCTCAGTGGCTGGGCTGGCCTTTGTCTTCTTCAGGTTTGGACACATAAGGTTTTAGGGGACCATCAAAACCTCTGTCCAGGAGTCTTCACTGCCAACCCACAGGAGCTCCATCTTGTGTGGCATCAGGAGCTCCAGTTTTCCTGCCAGTATGAAGGACAGAGTTTCTGGTTTGTGATAAGATCTATGCCTGGAAAGCTCCCCAGGCAGCCACCAGGCCACAACATGGCATCAAGGCACTTGGCAGCAGTCCCCGAAACATCTGCCTCCCAGCCCACGCCAAGCCATCACCTCACCCACAGCCCCAGAGCCCTGGATGACACCATGGCTGTCCCTGACACCACTCTGCTCACCAGCTCAGATGTCTCACACAGCGCCTGGGAGGCTGGGAATGTTGGAAGGTCCTCATGGGTGTGAACGTCGGCGCCAGAAGAGCAGTGCTTCTGGCCTGAATCGAGGGCTTGGTGTTGGTCCTAAAGCCTCCAGGATGGCGATGGTCTGTTCTGCCAGGGAAGAGATGACTACATTGCTGTCTGTCTTCAAGGGCTGAAGGGCTGTGAGCAAAAGAAACGGAGCCGAGATGAAGCCCTGTGTCTGCAGAGACCCCCAGACATCCCCTCCATCCATGTTCCCCACTCACCACTGCAGATCTCATCCAGCTGCTCTTTGCTTCGGTTCCTCAGGTGCCGCGTGGCCACCCCTAGGCACAAAGCTCCGTCAGCCCCTTGCTCCCCAGCGGGCTCCCAGCAGTATGGCCCCTGACCCTGCCCTCCTCCCCCTCATCAGGAATGAGCCAAGGAAGCACCAGGAGCACAGGGGGGTGGAACTCAGCCCAGTGCCCACCAAGCCCAGCCACGTGGGCAGGGGTGGCAGAGGGAGGCCCAGGCCCAGCCTGCGGCAGCCGAGGCTCGGGCAGCCCCAGGGCTGGGCCTGGCTGTGGCTGTAGGAGCAGGGACTGGGGCCAGCTTGCCCAAAGAGGGACCCCGGGGGCTGGGGCTCACCGATGAACCTGATGGCCGCCTCTCGCACACTGGGCTCAGGGTCCTTGAGGTAGCTCAGGCCCTGACGCAGGTACTCTTCAGCCCTGCTCCTGTCCTTCCCCAGCTGGAGAGAGCACAAGGACACAGGTATGGCACAGAGCCCCTTCGCTGGCTGCAGCAGTCCCTCCTGCCAGCACTCAGTGTTGCCCAGAGCCCTCTCTCCTGCTGGCTGCAGGGAAGGGAGAGGGGCCTGCAGAGAAGCCCTTGGGGCTCTGTTCTTGGAGGGCACACACTGGGCTGCAGCTCCAGCCTCTGGGCTCTGGGCCCACACCGCAGGCTCTGCCTGCGGGGCAAACCTCACCCAGCCTGCACCCTGGCACTTGGCCTTACCAAGCACTCGCCAATCCTCCACATCTGCTGCTTCTTCACCAGCTCTTTCAGCTCCCTCCACTTGAGCAGCTTTGCTGCAGCAAGGAGCGCTTCCTGGGCAGCCTGCATGGAAGCAGAAGGGGTGAGGTAGCAGCATGGCTGGCAAAGGAGAGCTCTTGGCTCTTTTGTTGGGGAGATTCTGCCCTCAGGAAGTTGGGACGTGCCCTCACCAAAGTGTCTAGGGGACGTGTGAGGACAGCCCCGCAGGACAGGGCCTGAGGCTGGAAGCCCTGGCCTTGGACACATGCCAGGGACAGGAGAGAAGCCTGTGGGGATGTGCCTGTTCAGGCTTTGGTGGCCACAGGCTGCTGACGAGCCCTACTGGAGCCCCAGGACAGCTGTTGGAAATGGCCCTGCCAGCTTCTCCATCCCTGCTGGCGCTGGCTCTGCAGGGACCTTTCCCACGCCTTGCGCTGGGCCATGGCTGCCCACTGCCAGCAGCCCTTGCCCTGCTGCCTGGGCCCCACAGGGCAGGCCAGCCCACCTCTCTCTTTGCCAGTGCTCAGCCTTCCAATGTGTACCTTGGCCACGCTCGGGGACTGGTCACTTGTGCGAATGAGCAGCGGGACCAGTGCACTCCACAGAGACCTCTTCAATTGCTTGTTGTTCCTCAGAACTGCTGAGCCCAGGTGGTCTCTGAAGAGGCAGATAAAGGCCTCTCGCATGTTGCTGCTCTCCTGGGAGGAAGGAGGAAAGGTGAGCTTTGGAAACAGTGGCCCCCTGCCCACAGTGAAAGGGGGTGGGGATGGTGGCTGAGGGAGGTGCCCTGGGCTCAGATTCCAGAGCAGGGACACGTTACACTGGGCTGCAAACCCATAAGCCACCAGAGCCCAGGGGAGCAGAGCCTGCTGCCAGAGCTGCTGCCAGGCCTGGGCTGTGGGGCAGCTCTCACTGCCCAGTGCCCATCTCAGGGCTCACACTCCCACATCAGCCTTACCATGTCAAAGAAGTGTGGCAGGTTCTCCACCAAATACTCATCAGTGGGGCTGGCCTTTTTCTTCTCTAGGTTTTGATTTATCAGTCTTTTCAGGATTGTAATGACCTTTGTCTTGAGGTCTTCTCTGCCAACCCACAGGAGCTCCATCATGTTTGGCACCAGGGACTCCAGTTTTCTTGCCTGTATGAAGGACAGAGTTTCTTTTCTGTGATAAGATCCATGCCTGGAAAGATCCTCAGGCAGCCACCAGGCCCCAACATGGCATCAGGGCAGTTGGCAGCAGTCCCCCCAACACCTGCCTTCCAGCCCACACCAAGCCACTGCCTTACCCACAGCCCCAGAGCCCTGGATGCCACCATGGCTGTCCCTGACGCCACCCTGCTCACCAGCTCAGGTGTCTCACACAGCACGATGAGGCCTTCGAGCACCTGGGAGGCTGGGAGGGTTGGAAGCTCCTCATCGATTTCAAAGTTGTCATTCTGAAGGAATTCAAAGTCTTCGTCCTTGTCCTCCCACTCAAACTTTACGTTAGTTCTGCTGGGCAATGGCTGTAGAAGCAAGCACAGTAGTGAGAGCCTGGCAGAGTCTGCAGGGTTCATGGTAGGGAATCAAGTCCTTTTCTGGTAACTCACAGCCAA